GAACAATGGGCATCACAAAACTCCATTAATAGCAGATTCGCCATCCACATAAAGGGTCCCCCCTCCCCGGCCACGACCTGCCTCGTACCAATTCAGAGTCAGAGAGCGTGTCACGCTACAGCACAGCCCAAACGAGCTTGATCCCCATGCCCACCACACGCCGCCCTGTACTCTTCGGCTTCATTAAATAGCCCTCGTTCCGTTCCGCCCCACCGCTCCCAGCGTGGGGGGCTCCGGCCACTTCTTGGCCCCGAATCCCGCGATTACAGCCCGCAGCGTGTCCGCTCAAATGGCCGGCACTGTTAAACAAAGAAAAATATTGATTATATCAGCTTGATGGACATGGTGATGGGCCATTTGGAGAGGGCCATTAGCAGGGAAAGAGAGACAGGAAGGCAGAGGCAGAGAGACGGGGATAGAGCAAAACAAGGAACAAAGCTAGCCGCTACCGCCAACGGGGTCAGGTGCTGGTCAGGACCTGTGCTAATTTTTACCCCAACCTTCTTGCAAATTTGTTTAATTAGCGAAATCATCCTTACATCGTTAACTTTTGCGTCAGTAACACGTGAGCCGTATGCGGTATCTCACCCCTAATTAGACAGATGTGGCCGGCAGAGTATGCTTTTGCTCTTACTGAGCCTTAGGTGGCGCTGTGAACCAGAGGCAGCGCGCCAACATCCTGTCAGGCGCTGGGTGCGAAAACTCGTGTTCAGATGTTAAATCGGCTCGTTTTTTTCTCCCTCTGTTCTCAGTCCCGAATAACATTTGTCTTTTAATTTTACGGCCGTTAAATCAATCCCCCGCTCGCAGTAATTGTGTTCGCGAAGGCTTCGGAAAGAAAAAAAGAGACTCCAGATGAAAATGAAGCCGCTGCTCGCAATGATTGAAAAGCACTTTGATGGCAGCGGAGATGGGAGATTAACGTGCGGCAGATTCGGGAACGAGTCCACCGTGCCCCGAGTCTGGGAGACCTGCATACTACAGTAGATATTATTGCTGTTTCCCATATATTGTGTGCCATGGGCTTTTTACTACATCGTACTAGCTGCACGGTCTTTGCATGAAGCCAGCTGGTTCCCAGTATTGATGCTTTTAACCTGCAGTTAGTATGGATTTACTCTGGTCCTGTTATACAATTAAACTGAGGCTTTTTACCCCCACCCTCTTGGCTACCCCCTCTAAATACACACACCCCGTAATGGCAAGAAGAGCCATGAAGACTAAACAGTGGCCAAATGTGTGGAGGCAGAGGGCTGTGGGGAACTCAAAAGGGAAAAATCAGCACCTGTAACCACTGTCAGATGTCTCTGAGTTTTCCTTTGCATGTTTAATGCCTTAAACTAAGTGTAAAAAAGTGAAGGTGCCAGCAGTGGAACACTGATGCCATCCCACTCACTCTTCCCGAGGCGTTTAGCCGCGCGCCGGGTAGATGCTGGAGTACCAGCGATTAGGTGGCACATCTGCGGGCCATTAAAGGTACAGGCTGCTTTAAAGACCTGCAGTCTCCCTTTGACATTTACCGATCACTGGCTTCGGCCTTCTAATAAATGCAATAAATATCAATTTAGAGGGACGATAAAGAAGTCACACAATTAACGAGCACTTTGATGTATTCATTACGAGCAGACGGGGACCTGGTGGAATGATGTACGGTGACGGGGTGCAGACGCGCATCATTAGGCCCCCCCATGGCCCCCGCCAGCCTGGCCCATGCTCGTGCATCATCTCACCGCCGCCAACGACCTGCAGGATGCCGGCCCAACTATCTGATGCCCTCCTACAGGTGAACGCGCTAAAATGAGGCTGCCCCTACCCTCTCGGTCGCTAAGCTAAGGAGACGCGATGAGGGCCACTCACCGCTTAAGTAACAGTGTTTCAGTGTTCAGTGTTAAGCAACAGTGTTCAGGCCAGCAGGCTCCCAGGACCAAACACATGCAGCCATTAGCAAGCATGGAACCCCCTTTCTGGTTTTTGGCAGGACTACGTCCAATTTGGTGCAAGTGGGGTATTGATCCAGAATATTCCAGTATGGGAGTGGGGGGTGCATGCAGAGGATGCAGTGTGGTGTAGGATAACACATCTGGGTGAGAAGCAGGGCTTGGGGACACCTGTGCATCACTGACCAGGGGACAGAAAGTTGTTATCCTGCTGATCATATGGTATGGAATACTTGGGAAAGCCCACACACACACACACACACACACACACAGACGCACAGAGGTCACACAGTAACTGTCTTATCTCGTGTTCTCTCTCGGAGTGCCTGGGTGACATAGGCAGACACTCTCGATCAGGGAAATAATGTTGTAACCATGAATTATTAATACCAAAGAGAACAAGAGGGAGAGGAAATGGGGAGGACACATCTCCTCATGGGAGACACATCCCCTCATAGAAGACACATCCCCTCATGGAAGACACATCCCCTCATATAAGACACATCCCCTCATGGAAGACACATCTCCTCATATAAGACACATCCCCTCATAGAAGACACATCTCCTCATATAAGACACATCCCCTCATGGAAGACACATCTCCTCATATAAGACACATCTCCTCATGGAAGATACATACCATAGCACATTGTACAGCCAATCATATTAGTATGGAAATGTGCTACATTGCAGCACTACTCAGTACTGCGGCCATGCTACCACACAAATAGTAATTCCATACTCTTATATACTATAGTACTGCAATATGCATACCTTCTTCCAGCTTCTGGAAGTCTGCATATATTTAGCTACCACAGCAGTATTACAGCATAGTCCTTCACTACAGTTCAATACTGTACTCATATTTGTGTTCAGTTCTGCACGATGCTAATGCTACCATTTACTACACATTTTCTGGTCACACCCTCACACACACAGACACATGTTTGTAATTATATCTTTGTGGGGACTCTCCATTCTTTTTGATGAGGAAAACCCTTATCCCAACATGATGACCTTAACCCCTACCCAGCACTAACCTTAACCATAAATAACCAAACAAAATACAAGACTTTTGCCATTTTTACTTTTTTGATTGCATTCACAGATCTACGTGAGGACCTGAAAAATAGTCCCCAAAATGTCACAATAACAGGTTTTGTCACATTTTCTATCCCCACAATGTAATGTAAACATAATCCACACAGACACAGACACACACACAGACACACACACACACAGCTCCACATTTCCCTGCATGTGTGACACCATCTTCCCTTGTTCTGAAAGCCATTTCAGGACCATCACACACATGCACTGTGGGATTATTAGTAATATTGCCAGTCTGTGTCTCTGAGCCTGCAGGGCTGTCTCTGTTCACGTAACTGATTAATGTAACGGTCCGTGAAGACCCCCATCACTGCGCGCTCTGTATCCAGCAGCTGTACGCTCCCTCCTAATTGTACTCATCCTTACGTCCTCCGCCATGTTTACTATCCCACCATTCCTTGCGGACCTGCCTTCCCCAGCCGCCCCCTGATGCGGTGACTAGCTGTTACAGTTCATTTGTCTCTCCCTACTCTGCGCTCTTCCTTCTGGAAAAGTCTCCGGGGCGAGAGACGCGACGAGGAGCAAGTGATTTCGACAGATGGAGATGATTGTGGGGGGCGGTGTTTAACCAGTCTGTCCGTGGTTACATTCCACTATATGGTCCTGCAGTGTGGTGGTCAAAACCCTGGTCTTCTAAACAAAATTGATGTTCAGGCCTTTGAGTCAGGTTTTTACCCTGAAGTTTCCCACTGTAATATACAGCTCAGGATAACAGCCAGTTATTTTTGACATGTGTCAGTTAAACTAAAAGTAACGCCCCCTCACCTCATAAAAAGCTCACTTACACAACCCCTCTTAAACTAATAATACTTGACTTTCAAGCCCTTGACTTTCTTTAAAAGGAGAGTTTACAGAATCTGGTTTCATGGCTCAGTGTCACACTTTTCTGTGTTAAGCAGAGCCCTGGAATAGCCACTAAGATGCTTCAGTTTCTGTTAAAGAGAGAAACACAACTGAATTAACCTGGATGAACAATAAACTGATGGCTACTAACAGTGTTGATTTATGAGGCTACAAAGTTCTTTACTGTTGATTACCTAAATTAGTGAGCTTATGAATGAATGTCTTTTTAACATCCATCCATCCATTCATCCATCCACCCAACCATCCATGCATCCATCTATCTTCCCACTGCTTCTCCTATGGGCATGGTGAACTTGGAGCCTATCCCAGGAAAAATAGGACAGGAGAAAAAATGCTACTCCATCGTAGGGCAGACATAATCACACGCTATGGGCAACATACACTCACCAATCCATCTTTCTGCATGTTTTAAGACTGTGGGACACTCTCCTGACCAATCACAATTCTTCGAGAAATTTGGTAACCGCTCACATACAAATAAGTAGCAAATAACAGGCGAAGCCTTAACGGCAGTGTTTGCTGCCATCTTGTGGAAAATAATAAAAGAACCATAACAACAAAGGAAATTATTTCGAGTAGAAAATCCATCCATCCATCCATTTTCCATACCCGCTTGTCTTATGCAGGGTCGCTGGGGGGCGAAGCCTTCGGTCGCAAGGCGTGGAATAACCCAAAATGGGCGCCAACCCATTGCAGGACACACGTACTTTATTCACACATATTCACACCGACTTGAAAATCAATTCAACAGATTTTAGCAGTACCAGATCATATTTAAATAAATGATTGTGTTTAATAAATGGAAGAAAAAAAATAGCTTTACGGTATCGCAATCGGGGTTGTCTCCCTGTGCACCCTACGTTAGTTTCCAAGATCACGCCGACAATGTACTGCTCCAGTAGTAAGGGAGATATATATTTGTAAAACTACTGTTTCGATTACATTTTACAGTGTAAATTAATACAAGTGCTGCGTTTAAATATTGATTGCTGAAACTGGGGGGTGGAATTAGCAAAAATATGTATAAATCAACGATTAAACTGAGTGGATTTCGAATGTAAACGTATCACCACATGATGGCGCCCCCGCGTTAAAATTGTCTACCATCTCTGAGTCTGAGACTGGCATTCAAGTTTCTACCTCGTTCAACCTCTGAAGAGGTCAACAGAGTTCTTTTTGTACAATTATGCAGTTGACCAAAAGAATTGAGCAGTTAGTAGAGACACTCCGAGTCTGCAAGGTTGGTTTTAATTAAGGTTATGTACAGCAACACATTATCGAAACGGGGCTTTAAATGGCTAATGTGTCTTTGGTCTACCTCTGTTTCTGTTTAAAAGGGGTTTCAGGGCGATCTGGCGGACCAATTGAAGAGGTTTGCGCAAAATCTGTTATATGTAACTAAGCCCTTCTTAACTGACATAGTAATGGATCAAGAGGAAATGGTTTTGCTAATTTCGTAGCTATAAATAAGTCCCCGTCAAAAAGCGTTCAGAAGCATGTGTGCATTGGCCGCAAGGGTTCCTGACGCCCGGCGGTGCACAGAAAGGGGATCGCGGTGCGCAGCCACGCCCGGCCGCTCGTCGCTTCACCACTGTCAGCCAAACACCCATAACTGCAAACTGGCACATAGGTCAGTCAAGAACCGCGTCAGGTGTAGATCGACAACGCTACACGTGTGACTCTATGCTTTTTTCATTCATTTCCGGTGCTTTTTTGTTTCGTAATTCGGTGATAGCTATATGCATAATGTGCTTTACAGTTTCTCTTGGTTCTCTTGGCAATTCTGGAAACATCTTATGCGCAAAGCTGTCAGTGCAAAGCGCACAGCAGTGGGATATTTCTAAAACACCACAGCGTTTATTTATGTCTTCGCATGACCGACAGTCCCCAAGCCAAGACGCTCCGACCTGCACAAAAAATAGTTACTCAAGTTCTGGTAACCGATGTGAATTAATTTTTCAAAAGACAGCAACCAATCCCAGCTTACTTCATACATTCAGTCATGTTAACTGCGAAATGAAATGGTTAATAGTGCGATATTATATATATATATATAATAATGGTGTATCTGGGTTAGGTCACTATTGTAAACGTGGGAGAAAGGCAGAGTCATCAAACTAGAAGAGGAACCATTTGTGTGGTAGAATGGGGGGAAATTGGAGGGATGATGGTGAATATGTATTTTCAGTGAAATACAGGCCACAGGCATCAGGCGTGTGATAAATCACTGCCTTACAAAGACAGGGGGTCTGAAAAGAGTGCAGCACCACCCCAGTCCATCTCAATGATCAATTATGAGGACTCGAAATGAAAACAGATATATGTCCTGTCAACATATTTTGTTATTGTGCCATTGAAAAATACAGTGCAATTCCTGTCAAAAGATGCTATTTTGCTACTCGGATACTAGGGTTGTCTATCAGTGGTTGCTGCATTTATATAGTAAATTAAGCGGGTACTGCAAGAAGAGTTTTTCGAACAGGAGGCGCTAACTGTTGACATGGTTATAGTCTCTGGGAGATTCCAGCCTGTAGTTCAAGATGCATGAGTATCTCAGCCCTGTCTGCTCGTCTGCAAGTGATGGAGTGTTAAAGACATGAGTAAGAAATGGCTGCACAGAGCCCCTTTCAGTAGGATGAAGGACGGGGTGAGGAAATTGAGGGATGTAGAGGTGAGAACGCAGCGATGCCTGCAAAGCTAGGAGCTCCTTTTGGGGAGCATTGAGCATTTTCAGTGCAAGGGGTGATAGTAGAGGACGAGCTACTTTATTACTTTAACTCTTTGAGATAATACAAATGCTGCAGGTCGGTTACTCATCACTATATCTTTGTACATCTCAGTAAAACCTCAAACGAGGCAGGACCCTGATTGGACAAATATTTGCAGTGGACAAGGCCAGGCAAGCATGGGGTAACATCTGCATGAGATGGTGTCATCGTCTACATCCCTGTCACTGGGCTTTACAGTTCCGGTCATATTCTAGAATTTTGGAGGCTCTTTATAGCCGTCCTGTACCCGCTGAAGATAGCGAGCTGCTTTTGGGACAGTGTCAGCGCTCCGCTCGAGACAGGGAACGGTTCTCCTCTCCTGCAGCACGTGGCTGTGGAACTCCTCACACTCTGTCCTGCTAAACCTCGCTCGCTGGTGGAAGATATATATGACCACCAGCTGTATGATCAAATGCTACTGGCTGCAATGCATGCTGGGTACAGAGGCGCCATGCCAACGGACCAGAAAATTGTAGCAGCTGGACATCAGGACAGAAGATAGGATCAATGCATCATGTGAGCAGGGTTTGTCTTTGTTAAATGATGAAAATTAAAATGACATTTGCCATTTGGACAAGTACCAGGACATTGTAATGCATTTTTTTTTGGATGTTCCATCTTGTTTTCAGACATATATATAAATAAAAAATAGATACTTTATTGGTCCCCGTGGGGAAATTTTCTTAATGCCTCCCCCAACTTCCTCTCTGTAGGTAAGAGCAAGCTGGCCATGAATGGCAGCCGTCCATAGCAGCATTCAGGGAGCTGGGGGGGTAAGTGCCTTGCTCCAGGTCCCGCAGATGTGCCAAGGCTGCGCTCGACCCTATGACCACAGGCACAGCTCACTGAGCCACATACTGCCCCCTATTGTTGAGAGTGTAACTTAGGGTCCAAGTGCAGGGTCAGGCTATTCATTCAGTCCCCCTGGAGCATTTCAGGAGCTTAAGGGCCTTGCTCAAGGGCTCATCGGGCATGTGACTATGCTGCCAAAGTGGGGGCTCGAACCGGCAACTTTCAATCACAGGCACAGATGATTAACCTGAACCACAAACCACCCCCCATTGCTGTTACATTGCTGGATTAAGTGAGAACAACCAGATCTGATGAGCTTCTGTGTGCTGAAAGGACAGGGCCAACATCCAGGGATTCCACGTAATGGCTCCTTCACTTGGTACCTTGTTACACCTTTGCTGGTCGGCCCACCCTATAGAGCACTGCACACCCAACTGTACAGAAGGACAGGAAGGACATTAGAGATTTAGTATTCTAATCAGGAACCACCATCAGGGGCACCAAGAGCAGGCACTCAGGGTGACTCACATCAGCACTGCAACTTAGCGCCGTTATTTAAACAGTGACCCCCCCCCCCTTTCTGTGACACAGTGGCTCCGTTTCATGTGTTTATTTGGTTGTGAAGCGTGGTTTAAGTGTCCGGGGCATTTCACGGGTGCAGTGTGTAGTTCTGCAAAATGAAAACGAGCTGTGAGAAGCCTGCCAACTGTTTTGCGCGTCAATGAATGGCGTCTCAGAAAAATGCACAGAACCACAGGGAAAGAAGTAGTATTCAAAGGAGAGCTTAACACATTTTTGTTCACAGATTTACCCTACAATCTTACTCATACAGTTTTTCACAGTCTTAATGTGTTTTTTAAAAGATGTTTTCCTGTTTAAAGTCTCCAAAGCATTAACCACTATGCCCCCTGGTGTCCTGCCATCCCAGCATGTTTATGAGGCTGTAATTAACATGGTGATGAGAGAGGGCCACCAAGGGCGGCTTCTTATTGCCATTTCATTGGAGCCCAGGGCTGCCCAGCAGGACCGGTGTCAGCTCTCTGTGTCCCGCAGGCCGTGTGCAGGACGCCGGGCAGCGTGCCGTCATTTATGCCCCTCTATGGAAAGTTTGGGAGCTCGTATAATCATCAGTGTGTAACCACTCTTGTCAAGGACACAGACACGCAAGGACAGGAGGAGACAAAGCCCATGCATTTGTTAGTGAGAGAGTTGGTCTGTCGGAGAGTGTGTATCTGTGAGAGATAGGGAGTAAGTGTGAGAGAGTGTCTCTATGAAGGAGATGAGTGTGTGAGTATGTATCTGTCAGAGTGAGTGAGTGTGTGAGTGTGTAGCTGTCAGAGAGAGTGAGAGCATACCTGAGACAGAGGGAGTAAGTTAGAGTACGTATCTGTGAGGCAGAGTGAGTGTGTGGGTTTGTATCTGAGAGAGAGTGAGTTTGAGAGTGCGTATCCATGAGAAAGAGTGAGTGTGAGAGTGTGCATCTGAGAGAAAGTGAGTTTGAAAGTGCATATCTGTGAGGGAGAGTGAGTGTGAGACAGTATCTGTGAAAGAGTGTGAATGTGGATCTGTGAGAGAAGTGATCGTGATAGAGTATCTGTGAAGGAAAGTGAGTGTATCTGAGAGGAAGAGTGAGTGTGAGAGTGTATATCTGGGAGGGAGTGTGAGCTAGTGTGAGAGTATATCTGTGAGGGAGAGTGAGTGTGAGAGTGTATCTGTGAGGGAGAGTGAGCTAGTGTGAGAGTATATCTTTGAGGGAGAGTGAGTGTGAAAATATGTATGAATGTGTAAGACTTTAAAATAGTGTGTGTAATCTGGGAGTTTGTATGTGAGAGATGGTCAATATTTGAGTGAGACGGTGTGTGTCTGAGTGAGACGGTGAGTCTGTTTGTGGCTCTGGGGTAATATTTGAGACTTAAGGGTGTGTATGTGAATCTGCGTTAGTGGAAAGGCAACTCATTTTTCAGCATTTATTTTTCAGGGAGGGGATCTGGGTTGCGTGTGTGTGTTTGTTTGTCAGACCAGATGTGTGGCACAGGGGGGCAAGATTCTTTTATAGCAGAGCCCAGAGAGGGAGGTGTGTTCGAGGTGGGGGAAGCTAGGAGCTTGAAAGAGAAGGGAATGTTATTTACAGTGACTGCCTTGATTATTCCTCCCAGCGGACTGATGGAAGGAAGACCCGTTCTCCTTCCGAGACACGGAGCGACACAAAAGGTCAGGGGGTGCATTTTTACCTGAGCTTGGCGTCTCTAGGAAGCCGTAAAAGAAAAACAAGCACAAGCAGCCAAGTGAGCACCAGCAAGGTGACATGGCAGCAAACGTGGCACCATGGGAAAATGGGGAGAAGGGCAGCAGGCATGCCTGTCCTGGGGGCGTCACATCGGCACGGCCAAAGCCCGTCCCCTGCTATCACGGTGGCTAACATGGTGGTTAAGGGAATTGATGTGTGACCACAAGATTGCGGCTTCGACTCCCAAAAGGGTTACTGCTGTTGTACCCTTGAGAGAAGTAGTTAACCTGTGGAAATATATGCCTGTAATAAAATATCTGTCTCTGTAAAGTAGCATAAGAGAAAGAACTGCAATGCTAGTGTGAGTCGCTTAAGGAAAAACACCCAGTATGGGGGCTGTATTCCCCCCAAAATTCACCTCCAGTGGCACCCTTAATGGCTTGGTTTTCTCCCAGAAGCCCCTGGCATTAGTCTGCCACCATGTTCCTTGGCCTGTTAGCAGAGGTGGACATTTCAGGTCCAGAAAGTAAAAATCCAAACCAGGATTTTGTTTCAACCAACCAGTTGAGCATAATGAGTCACAGTCACATGGTACTCAACTGGTGGGTTGTAACAAAATCCTGGTTTGAATTTTTACTTTCCGGACCTGAAATGTCTGCCTCTGCCTGTTAGCTGCTAAGATGCCTGTATGCAAGACAGCTAATACCCCCCACCCCCCCACCTAGACGTGTCCTCAGCTGTTTTAAGAGTGTAGTGGTATTGCTCAAAATGGTTGGGAGGGTGTGGTTTATGGTCGGGGGTAATTTCCATCAAAGCAAAGCGATATTATATTTTGCTTTTCATTTTTATTTTCTAGACTTGAGCCTCAGCTTGAACAACAGAGAAACGACATATTCCTGCTGTTATTTTTTTAAATTTCTTTGATAATTTTAAATATTGTCAGAAAGCAAACAGAGAATTACTTCGGTTGCTCTCAGCCAAACAAGTATAAAGAAATTAAATGTAACTGATAGCAAGAATTATACAAGATGAGTATACAAGAAAGCAAGAATTATTCAAGATGGCTGCAGCGGGTGTTAACATTTTTGTATATTTAGCTGAAACTTCTATCCGAGGCAACATACATTTTTGGGAAAGCAGGGACGGACAGGTCCTGAAGCAACTAGAGGTTAAGGGCCTTATTTAATTTGGATTCATTTATTGTCCCCTAATAAACAGACCTTTGTAATTACTAGAGTGTGTCCCTCTCCAGTATCAAACTCTCTCCTATGCCGTTGGTTGAAATCACTCATCTAAACGCTGGGATTTGAACTAAGTCACAGGCACAGTGTTCCAACCCACTGAGTCTCACCCAAATAGGTACACAGATAAAAACCAGCAACAGTAATAACTATAAGCTCCGTTAGCTAATTTAGGTTCCATTGATTCATGCGTGGTAATGTGTGCAACACGTGGCAGAATTACAATTAGTTATTTTACAGCTCGTAAATCAACAGGAACTGTAAACCATGGCCTGTAATAAAGGCATCAACTAAGCAAGGATGCAGTACTGAATGTATATTTACTAAATGCATATTAAAGTGCATGGCTGTAGACTTTGACTGGGCTCTGGTGGATCCGGTTGCCGTGGCGGTGATTGGGCGTCACGCCTTATCGAGGGACTCAATGAGGTGGAACAGAGACGTCAGCACCCATCGCCATTGGCGCCGCCTTCATTTATTAAGACACCCCCCGGGGGATGGAGACGGACCCCCCCCCCGGGAGCCCCGGGGTCTCCTGCGTCATCACACTGGGGCCTCGAGCAGAGGTCGGCCCCTGTGAAAGCGTAGGGGCTGGATCGCCGTGGGGGGCGGGGGGTGATGGGCCCTCGCTTTTTAATCTACGGTAGATAACAGTCTACACGAGCGAGCGAATGTCAAACAAAACCGCAGTGGGCAGGCAACACGGAGGAATGCAGAAGGAATAAATGAATATATCATTCATATACCGACCCGCATCCTGGCTCAAGGCACATTATGTTTATTCATTTAGTTTTGAAAACATTTTATTTCTGAAAATCAATCCCGCATCTCTGTGTCTCCCTTGGCAACAGGTTATAATCCATGGTTACGAGGAGCGGTTGCTAGGCGCGTTGCCGAGATACAGACCCCCCTCTCCGGTGCGGGGACGTAGGAGGCCACAGGGTCCTTGATGACGCCAGGGAGCTAACGGGCTTAAAAAAAGGAATGTAATCATAATGTGAAAAGGAGAATGAAGGGGGGGGAGGGCGGGGCGGGGGGGAACCAAGGATGCAGGGAGAGTGAATGCACCTTTGGCTCTGCAGAGTGCGCAGCGGCAGTGCGTTAATCGTGCAGGCTTGTCAGAGTGAAAAGTGTCACCGCTCTGCTCTGTGAGTCACGGTGACAGCGGGGCACAGCCTGGCGGAATCTAAATAAAGGCCATGCGATGCCTCTCCCCGCCAGCCAGCCCCCCCCCCAAGCTGCTAACACGCGGTGGGGCGGGCCAGCGGAAAAAGTTTCTGCCGCCGTCAGGATGCAGCCTTGCCCCGCCCCGCCCTGCCCGCCACCAGGTCCCCAGCGGTGACAAGCCATCCCAGCCGGTCACCCTTTAACCCTTTAGGTTATCGGTCCTGGGGGGTTGGGGGAGCAGGCTGCAGTCTGCAGGCATTTAGCTCTTAATTACTTCACTGAAGGTAATTAAGAAGTGCTATATAAAGTGGCATGTCAGCTGTCAGTCAGGAGCTAATTATAACCAGATTCTCTGAGATCTGGGGGATCTCAGCCCCTGTTGACCTCGGTCATGCGCTGCTGTCTTGACAGCTGGATCCAGTGCTGTTCAGAAACACACCAGTGTACCACCATCAGGGCAGCAGAGTGTCCATCCAGTGCAACATCAACATGGCAGAAGAGTGCACTCTACACTCTTAACATGTTCCATCTCCATCCCTCGTGTTTTATTTGTTTTTTTTTTTTCTTTTTTTACATTTTTAACTCTAGGGGGCAGTAGGGTGTCACACAAGCCTTCTCCTCTGGCCTGGTCTCTCGTTTCCCGGGTACTGTGAGGTCTCTGTCGCCATTCGGTCCCCATCAGCATCGTCTCGGACTTTCCACGCAGCCTTGTGACAGGAGAGCCGGCAGCCGTGTGCACGGGGCACAGCCTGCGGACGCCTAATGACTCGGTAACGCAGGCCTTCCGTCGTCTGGGCCTCCTGGAGGGCAGTGCTACGCTAATGCTAACACTCCCCCCAATCCACCATCCACCTATCCTTCACTGTCTTTGATTCTTATTTAATTTAAAACTATTTTTAAACCAAAATTTTGATCCTTCAGTAATTGAATAGTCCTCCTTAAGAAAAAAAAGCCACAAAAAATATTTCATAAACACAAACCGAAAAGAAAGATAACTTAATAGTTTTAATGAAATGTATATGAGATAAAAAATAAAATCACAGCACTGTGTCGTATTAGAGCCCTGGATTACAGGGAATGTCCACTAAGGGCTGGATTCATGTATTTTAAGTATTTACATAAATCAAGGGGGGGGGGGGGGTCATAATCATCAACACTGTTGTTCATAAATGGCTGTTAGTTGTCGTCTTGATGTTACAACATGATGGTGGGTTACAGAGCAGAGGTCAGTCGTCCTGATCACTGCAGCTGGGGTGTCCTGGTCTGCTTTGGATCGTAAACCCCCCACCTTCTCACCGACAGCCCGTGCGTGTCCCTGGGGGGGGGGGGGCAGTGGATCACTCCTGCCATGTGTCATTGCTGTGAAGCCCTCCCCCCCCCCCTGAAAAACGGCATTCCTCACAGGACTGTTTCAGGCGTGTAGCCAGACATAAATTTCACGGGGCGTCCAGCATCCCTACTTCCCTACTGATAGGTTCCCATTAGTAGATTTTGCCAACCAGGAGGGTTAAAACATGCAATTTAACTACCTGTCTGGACTGTCCCATCTGCTTGGCTTGGTCTGAGTAGCTGCGGGTTAACCGTTTCCACACAGTACAGTAAATCAGACTGTATTTTACACAGACATTACCCAGTACTTGTAAAACCACAGTGTAGCTCACATTTTTATCATATGGTGACTCTGTGACCCTGTGACTGTACTTTACAAGGGTCATGGTGGTTTACCTCCAGAGCAAGGTCAACCAACGAGGTGCTGGGCTATAAAACGCAATGGCCCCCTATATCAGCGAAATGTTTTTGACTTAAAAGGATATCGCTTCTTTCTCAAACTTTATTCCTTCCACATAAATCGCCAGCTATATGCAAAATCAATGGAGTGCCATTGTATTTTAACTTGGGGGGGGGCGCTTATAATCGTCGAGCATTAGTTTGGAGCGAAATCAATTAGAGCAAAGTGCCTCACCACAATGGGATTTACATTTGAAAGCAATATCTTAGGGACAATTCAATCGAAGCCAAAGTGCATTTTAAACTTTCAAAGGTAACGAATCTTCAGATTAAGGTCTTGTCAACATTAATTACCAGGAGCTGTAAGCAGGCACCTGAGGATGGGGTAGCGTCGCACGTGTCCGCACTGAGAAGACCAACATCCTGCAAAAGAGCCAATGATTTTTTTAAAATACATTTTCTAATTGCCACTTTCTATTGAACAAGATGTGCCGGTAAAAGTAATGGTGGGCAAGTATGATTATCATAGATGCCTTTCTCTGCAGACTCAAGTGTTACCAAGAATAAAGTTTCCTTAAAAGGCCACACTACTTCAATAATAATTATAATAAAAAAATCTTTTCGCTGCGGTCAAGATCAAGCGCTATAGGCTGACGCGTCTGTTCCCCGACATAATCCAATTATTCAAGGAACGCACACATACATGAAAATATGTCTGAAGAAATGTTTGTGAATGCTTCTTATGAAGGATAATACCTGTGTCGCTGACTGTAAAGCGGGGCGACGTTTTAAACATCGCGGGGCTGAAATCTCCGCCACACCGGCTGGGAGGCTCCGAGCGCAGCGCCCTCGCCAAGCATTTCGCAGCGTTAACAATGATTGTTTAAGACGCCAGAGAGGCGAAAGTTGTCATTTAAGGGGACCGGAGCGCTGACACCGTAAGTCAGGCGCGGGCATCGGAGCAAGCCGTAGGAGGGAGACAACCTTTACGGCTGCGAGTGTTTTCGGGGAAAAAAGATAAGAGAATTCAGCGTGTCAGATCACTGCCACGCTCAGCCCAATTTGGGCTCCGTCTCTCCACAGGAGCAAGTATTGCGAGATTCCTTTTCATTTTTCATCATTCACACCTGAAAAACACACACACGCACACATACACACACAAACACAAAGGATTAATAATCAGCGGGTAACTGAATGCCATCGCTTCCCCTTGTTATGCCTGTTAATGATAGGGCAGGACCACCCTCAGAACATGACTTGCAGTATTACCTAGGTCATTAATGGTGAACTTTATTTTCTTTTTATTTGTATTTGTATTTTTATTTTCAAAACCTAAATGCCATGTTGAGTTTTCAGTGCATTTTTAAATGCGACCTTCCTGAACTCTTTCTGGAAACATCTTTTTTAAAAACGTTCATTTATCTAAAGGAATCAGAATTATTTGGTATAACATTGTTATACTGGCAGTCATTGATACTCATATTATTATCTACGATAACAGAAAAAAAAGTTCAGAGCAGCCCTTGCGTCTCTAGTGTTCAAACACGGGTAGAGGTGGCGTGGATATGTGTGTATGTCGATATTCTGACTTATATTTACTATATTTACTCAGCTTTCCAGTGGATCACGAGATACATGGACGGAAATATCTTTAGTAATTGTGGTTAATTTAATGTACTGTATACATTACGAATAAATTTACACTTTTTAAGAGTGACTAATGTAGGCTTCATTTTAATTAATGATTGTTTTTGGCAATGAAACATTGAATTGCTGATTGGGATAGAAATAAAACGATTGCATAGCAAAATACTCCTCAAGTCTATTCATGGAGAAAAACGGGGGGAGGGTTTTAACTTTGGCTGGACTGAATGGTTTCCCTCGTTGGTTTCAATTCATAATTGAGACGTAATAAATATGCATCAGTAGCCTTTGCCGACACAATTACCTCATGCAAATCTTGTGATGAATCGATGCGTTGGCCGTAATTGCCGCTGTTAAAAAATGCATTGATTTCGCTGGAATAACAGCCGCGGAGGACAGCC